CTTCACTTTTATTTAAAGCCTTTACAACAGGAAACAATTGTAGTTCCACCCAGATCGCTCAACAAGCTCCAAGCATTCATATACTGTCCACTCCATCACAATAATGTAATATATGGGTTTTATTTTTTTAATCTGTGTTAATTAAATTTTCAATTATTTATATCTTGTCTTCCTATTACTTGAACATATAAGGTACTTTAACATTTGATGATAAAGGGGAAGACCAAAATAGGTCCGAACAAAAGTGTCATGATTAAAGTCAATTCGTATCAAATTTGAGTTAACTAAGTGGGCTTAGGCAAAATAAAGTTTAAAAGCAAAGACTTTAAGTTAGCTTGCTTTCAAATCTGGGATCTGGCACCTACTAGTTATGTGATATTCAGGTTATTAAACGTTCTAAGCTTTAGACTCTGAATGGAGATAATAATGGCACCTACCTCATAGGGCTGTTGTAAGGAGCAAATAAAATTCTGGGTGTAAAGCAGAATTGTGTGCATAGCTTAGCACAAAGTAAACATAAATATTGGCTATATGACAATAATGCTGATGGTGATTATGACAATGATGATGAAAAGGAAGAATTTTAGAATGGTCTTGCACCTTGGAGATTCCAGGATAAATATTTCAGAATAGTTTGATTTTAATCATCTGGATTAGAAATAGTTGTATATGTTAAATCAAGTTCAACCTCTTTCACTTTCTCTAGATCTTTGTAGGCCTAAATAATTAGAGCTAAAGTAATTCTTGTGTTACTTCACAGCTGGAAGTTACAAAACCTGGACCTTACTTGGTAAAGAGCTTTTATTTACTTAAAACCACTTATAAAGATAATTATGAAATATTCAAGTATGTTTTGGGGTAAAAGTTTCTTTTTGAATGTAGGGAATTTGATGTTTTGTTTCATCAAAATGTAGTTTAATAAAAGCAAACACTATTTGTGCTGTTTCAAAGAATCAGAAAAATCACACTAATTACTGTATGACAAGTGCTTTGGGAAAGATAAAGGCCCCAATTATACTAACAATTCTCTGGAAAGGGGAGAATGTTAATGTTAATTTAAGCAATAGCCAAATGAATCCTTAGGTGGATTCCATATTCTACCTGCTATGTATTTAATCAAGCCATTGTCAAAGGAATGACTTCAGCAATTTTTTTAGTCACAGAAGTTTAGAATTGGGTTTGAAAGGTGTGCCTGTACACTTTTTTTTTTTAACTGAATCTAGTTGATACATTTATATAAGTAGGTCTATACTTTAAAGTCCTCACTTATTGTCATGGAACTGCAGCAAAAGGTCTGCATAACAAAACCAATTTTATCATAGGCTAAAAGAGTTAAGTTTCTAGGGCTTCTCAACATTGTAATACAACAACATTGAACCAAACAACCTTATTCCAGGACCTGCCTTACAGCTTTCTCTATAAGTTATTTGCAGTTAAGCAGGTGAAAATCATTTGGGTCTGCATCTCTTAGTCTCTCCTTAAAAAAAAAAAGAAAAAGAAAAGAAAAGAAAGAAATACTGCATTTCTAAAGTTTAATTTTGAAAAATTCATCATCATTTTTTATTTTACTCTCTCCTTGTTTGGTGAAATCAAAAGGGGAAATTTTGGAGAAAGCCAGCTGCAGTACACTTCTTTCTGACCTTAAAATATTTCCAATGACCTCAACAGTTAAGATTGTTTCGAAAATGTTAAATTTCACATATATTTCATATGTGGAATATATGTGAAAATCTACCTCTGTAAGACATGAAATAGTCTTAACTTTAGAAAAACTAAAGCCTTCCATTTTACGTTGTAATAATTGTGGCAGTGGTGAACAGCTAGGAAATCCAGAGTGTCAATTTCAGAATAGTCAGGGTCTCTATGTAGTCAAGTCAGAACTGGTTCTTGTCCTTGATAACATGTGACATTTGTTTGAAGTTTATAAATCTCTTTTAGTCAGCTTTCAGTTTCCTATGCAAAGTTGGAGAAAGTGTTTATATTACCCAGTAATGTATATTTAAATTCATTACCAATTCATTTTTTTAATAAAAATAACCTGGATTTATTTTTGGAATTTTACACATTCAGTGCTGACAATTTGAACTAAAATAATCAATATTCACTGAAGGCACTGTACACAAAGATTTTATAGTTCCTGAGTATTAGTGGATAGGTAAAAATGAAAATGAGTAGTTTAGAATTTATTAAGGCTAAAGGAAGCCTAGAGACTGTTATAAAATATCCTGTTAGGAGACTAGGAAGTTCTATGCCTCAGATCCAAAAGACCAGGCATGTGAACAAAAACTCTGAGAGAGAGAGGAATAGAAAGGATGTCATATGGTTGGGAGTTGGTGAGGGGATTGTCTGCCATTTTTAAAAAGCAAAATAAAATTGCTGATGTAGATTTGAAAAGCCACAAAGTGCATCTAGGTAAAAGGGAAAGAAATTGCTCAAAAAGATTATGTAGAACATCTTGCCAGGCCCTAAAAAGATGCTAATAAAAACATTTGTTTATTGTGTATCTAATTTGTCTTAATAGTACACAGCCTTACTTTTCTGTATTTGCATAGCCTCTACAACTAAATTATAAATGTAGTGACGGCAGAAACCATCCTTTCATTGAACATAAAGGCTGAGTGCTAAAAATGGGTTGGGCGAAAGGGACAAAAGAGACACTACGATAGCAGCCAACACTGAGCATCAAAAATGTGCTAGGCATTTTTCTAAGCACTTTATATGAACCCTCATCTAAAGCCTATGATGTGGGCAGTTTTGCTATCTTCCAGGTTTGCAGATAAATAGAAGCAATTTGCTCAAGGCTACATAGTTAAGTGACAGAGCTGTCTCCTACCCACCCTGGCATTCTGCTTTTCCAAGGGACACAAGATAAGTTTAAGGAATTTAACACGGTATTCTATGATTACCTTGTCAACTGACTTAGGTTCTAACTGAGATTATTATCCACAAGAACAGTGTTCAGAGGAGGCCGAAGAACTTAGAGAAGGTTCCATGGAAGATGCAGAACTTAACATGGATCTTAAAGGATGAGTAAGAGATGAATAGGTAAAAAGGAGAGAGAGAATGGGGAGAGAAGCAAAAGATGCTTTGTAGTATGGTCTTTGTATTCCTCAATCCATGGGAAATGAATGAATAAAAGTTTCTTTAGCTACAGCAAGACATGGAAACAACATAAGTGTCCATCTATGGATGTCTAGACAAAAAATTTGTGTTATGTTTAGAAAATGGATTATTATGCAGCCATAAAAAAAGAAGGAATTCCTACCATTCACAGCAACATGAATGGACCTTGAGAGCATTGTTCTAAGTGAAATAAGTCAGAGAAAGACAAACATTGTATGGTCTCGCTTATATGTGGAATCTAAACACAAAACAAACTCAGGAAAAGAGATCAGAATTGTGATCTCTTACTGGAGAGACGGTGGGGGAATTTATGAAAGTGATCAAGAAGTACAAACTTCCAATTATAAGAAAAGTCCTGGGGATGTGATATACAACATGGTGAGTATATTTACACTGCTGTATGGTATACTTGAAAGTTATTAAGAATGTAGATCCTGAGAGGTCTCATTACAAAACATTTTTTTAATGTCTATATGAGATGATGGATGTTAACTAACCATATTGTGGTAATCGTTTCACAATAAATGTAAATCAAACGATATGTTATACACCTTAATCAGTGTTGTATGTCAATTACCTCTCAATAAAACAAAAGAAAAAGTGTTTCCTTAAATAAATCAAAAGCACAAAAGCCGGAGAGACAAACCAATGGGACCTCCTGATGTCATGATGCAGAAGGTGAAGGAAAGAGATGAAAAAGATGGCAGATTTCATTGCAGTCTTCATTGAAGAAAAAAGTAGGCAGGTTCTCTATTCAAGTCATCTCTTGAAGCTTATGGTTTAGTAATGGTAGCTTAAGATTCAAATGACAAAGACATGCATTAACACGATTGGATGAAATCCACTCAACAAATTGGAAAGCTTACTTTATATTTTCATCATATACTTCCTCTTTCCAACTCTGTTTTAGTTCTCCTTTTAGGTTGGGTGTTGCTGCTGCTAAAACAAACATTGACAACTCACCACAGCCAGAACTAGAACAACCATACTACAAATACGGAACCACTTTTTATGGCCTTTAATGTATTACTTTGTCAAAGATTTTTTGAATTTCTAAGTACAATCTTGCTCACTCTGGACAACTAGAGGGCTGTGTTCTTTATAAGAAGTAAGTTAAGCTTGCTTCTGTGTTCAGTGATGCTATTTCATCTACGAGACACCCACTCACTAGATGAAAATCAAATGTATTGTTGGCAGTCACCAGAGTTAGCTCCGAAGTCACTCTTATGAATGAAAGTTATATTGGCAAATAGCCAGCCCTCTTGTCAAGGGCTGTGAAGACAACACAGATGACAAACTTTAGCCCAAATAACTTACATATTCCCAAGTTCAGTTTGACATTTCACACCAACTCAAAGCCATTTGGACTTCTGGTAGCTTTCCCTGATCACTGCAGACAATAGTTTTTGAACTCACAACAATTGTTTGTGCTAGCAATGTGAGACAGTCATATTCTTTGGTTACATAAGTGTTCACTGTCATCATGGCAGCATCTTTAAGAACAGCAAGCATTAACTGAGTGTTTCCCATGAATGTGACCATAAGCTCTTCAAGTGCAGACTGTATTGTAAATTTTTAAAGACTACATAGCTCCCTTTGCGAAGTACTAAACAGATGATTTTTTTTAAAAACTGAATTAAATTAAATATAAGAAGATGTCTAAGATCCTGTGAATGTCCCCTGCATTAATCTTTGCCCCTGCCACTTACATTATAATGAAAAAATAGATGGCTGTTTTGCTCTTTCAATATTCAATACAGACTTCAGAGCAAAATGTTGCCTTTATCAGAAAAGCACTTTTATAAATTAAGATTGCCAGATTTCTAGGCCAAATGCTTAGAGAAGTAGGTATTGTCTAATACACAGAAATAATATCTGTGCTTGCTTTGGCAGCACATATACTAAAATTAGAACAATACGGAGAAAATTAGCATGACTCCTGCAAAAGGATGACATATGAATTAGTAAAGCGTTTCATTAAAAAAAAAAATCCATTAATTGAGCATTTACTATGCTCTAAGCACTATTCTAATCACATTATGTGCCATATAATATGGCAACATATTATATAAGATATATATTCATATGGCACATATATTTTTTCTTTAATCCTCTTAATTATTATTCTACCCAGGAAGGTAAATAACTTGCCAAAGGTCCACAGGTGAGAGAGGCACAAGCCCTAATTCATGAAACATACACTGATTAAGAGATAAACACTTTGTGGAGTAGCTATTTGTGTGTTAGAGGTCACACTTGGAGCACAGAGAGCCACAAACCACATTAAATAAAATCAGGAAGCAAGGTAATGAATGGAAAGACAATAGAGTTCCTGGATAATTTCCTTCAGTATTGTGCCCAAGAGAAATGAATGGGGATTGGAACAATGCTGAAAGTTAACAGTGTGACTTGGCCGGGTAGCTCGGTTGGTTACAGTATCGTCCCCATACTCAATGGTGGCAGGTAATATCCCTGGTCAGGGCACATACAAGAAACAACCAATGAATGAAGAAATAAGTGGAACAACAAATCGATGTCCCCCCCCCTTCCCTCGCTTTCCTCTCTCTCTCAAATTAATAATAATAATAAAAAAAGTTAACTGTGTGAGTGAGTGGTGGCAAAGAGGAATGGCTGCTGAAAGTGAGAGATTCTGGCAGCTAAACATGTGGGGTAAGGGTTATCCTTAGGGTGAGGTGAAGTTATAATCTTTAAAGCAGTGAGCCAAGAATCTCTTGTGTCTTGCACTGGTATTGACTAATTCAGTCGATTAATCAATAAACATTTGCTAAAGAGCTACTATGTTTAAAGTACTATGTTAAGTACCACGGGGATACATAGAGGCAAAAGACATGGTCCTAGTTCCTGCTTAAGGATCTTTTTTTATCCTGATAAGACAAGATATATAGAATCATAAAGACTGAGCTAGATCTTCTCATCTAATCTCTTTAGTTTTATAGATGACCAAAACCAAATATCAGGGACAGAAAATGATTTGACGGAGTTTCCACAGCATTTTCAGATCAAGGGTACAACCCATAATTTATTGCTACTCTAGGCCTTCTGTTTTCTTATATAGATAGAATTAGTAATAAAGGCAGTATTTGCCAAATAGCAAGTTAATGGTATAGACAATGCATTGCTTCTTACCATAATATGTTTACAAAGTCAAGGTCTAAATGCTAAAACTTTTTCTGGGGAATTTTCAGGTGCAAAGGGACTTTCCCAATTGTCTGTTCAGCTGCTTTAGCGTGAAAACAGAAAATGGCCCCCGCTCTGTGCTCTCCAAGCACCTGTGTTACCTCAATCATACACGCCACATGTGATCTTGATATGTACAGCTTGCTAGTTCTGAAAGTGTGTGGTCTCCAGACTAGCAGCACCTGGAAACTTGCTAGAAATGCAAATTCTTGGGCCCGCTCTAGACCCACTGAATCAGACACTCTAGGGGTGGGGCCTAGTGATCTGTGTTTTAACAAGCCCACTGGGTGACACTGATGTGCTTTTGAGCTTGAGAACCTCTGGTCTCTCTAAATGGCCCTCCAGAGAGACTGTGAGTTTTTGAAGATGGGGACCATGTCTGCCACAGTTTTTGTTTCCCTGGCTTGGTACCAAGCCTTGAACAGTGGATGTTCACCAATATTCCTGACAAGTATAAAAGTGAACATGGTAAGGCAAAGCATCGCAGTAGCCAACTCCCTTCAGGTAATGATCAGCACCGTTAAGTTCACTTTATGTTATGGGCTGAATAATGTCTCCCCCACCCCAAAGTTCCTATGTTTAGATCTAACCCTTCCCAACATACCTCAGAATGTGTATTTGGAAATAGGGGTACTTTTTTGAAAGGGGTACTTAAGGTAAAATAAGGTCGTATGGGTGGGTCCTAATCCAATATGACTGGTGTCCTTATAAGAAAGGGAGATAAAGTTATAGGCACAAAGGGAAGACTGTGTGAAGACTAAGAAAAGGTCGTCATTTACAAGCCAAGAAGAGAGGCTTCAGAAGAAACCCGCCCTGCTGACACCTTGATCTCTAACTGATAGTCCCCAGAATTGTGAGAAAAATAAATTTCCATTGTTTAAACTACCAGACTGTGGTAATTTGTTATGACAGTCCTGGCAAATAAATTTACTTTGCAAAAATTTTTATAAAAATACCGTCTCTGAAATCCGTGAATTCCCATCTAAGCCCATGACAAGGTAATCCTATGTTCAGATGACTCTACAACCACCAATGGATGTTAACCATTAAAGTGTTTATTTAAGGAATTACTCTTCCATGTTCAATATGAGCACAGATTTTGGAGTCAGACAGAGGTGGGTTTGAATCCTGACTTAGCCACTTAGAAGTTACGTAATCTTAAACTCTAAAGGCTCAGCTTCCTTCTTTGTAATTTGGGGCTAATCATAGCTCCCTCCTAGACATAGCAATAATTGGCAAGTATAACATTGCCACTCAGTATCTGGTGACTTAAAAATGATAATTAACCAAATTATTCAGATTAGCCTTCAAGAGAAGATGGAATTAGAGCAAAATTTTACTTAAATGCTTGTGACAGTTCAACAAACATACTACTCTAATGACATTTTAAAAGAGTTTATTAAATGACAGAGTAAGAATTTTGTAGGAGAAAAGAATTGAAGAGTCAAAGGGAAAAGAAGAATATGAATGTCAGGAATGTAGACCGATTCTTCACTCTGCAAGATGCAACACCTAAGAATGGTTAAATTATCTCAAGTTGATGAGTAGTTAGACTGTATGAAGGCAGGGAGTGCCGATTTTGTCTTGTGTCCATGAGCTTAATGTAGTACCTCGCACTTACTAGTAGTTCAACAACTTTTGGTTGAATGAAAGAATGAATGGCTTTCTGCAAGGACAATTATAAAAATTACGCAAAGACTCGATTGGATTTCAACCCAAGTATACTTACACTAAACTCATGGTTCTATACCATTTTGGCATTGTGCGATAAAAACTTTAATTTCAATCTGGGAATTTCACTTTGGGAAAATAACCGAAGAAAATAACCTCAAAGGAGGGAAAAGTGTTATTTTTACAAATGTCTTCAATTATAGTGGTATTCAAACTACAGAAATCCTGGAACAGGGCTCACAGCCTCTCCGACCCACTGCGTACGTCCCCTCTCCCGACTGGGACCGAGCCCTCCCTGCTGTACCCAAACTGTTCTGACCATCCTCACAGCCCCTCACCTGAGTGGACCGGTGTCCCAGACTTCTAATCCTTTGGAATCAGCTCCCCTCATTAAAACTTATTTGTGGCTGCTTATGTTTGGGACTGTACTCAATCAACTCATCTGATAAATTAATTTAAACTGAGGTGCTAATGACTGCTAATGGCTGAATGGGAGTCCACTCCTGGATAACAACTGCATTTCAGCAGCATCTTATTGTGAAGACTAAGGCATGTGTCCTGGCCATTGGAGAAAGATATTTAAGTAGGGGGATTTCCTCAAACCCCTCAAATTACACCAAGGAGACAGCTGCCTATCCCACATGATCTGGCCAACTCCTTGGCATCCAGTTATCAGCACTCAGGGGACATTAGAGGAAGCAAGTCTGTTCCTCTTCTTAACAGAGCTTGGAAGCAGTGACTGGACTATTTCTGTCACTTAAAGGAAAAGGGCATTTACTCTGGAACCTACCCAGAAAGCACATACTCCCTGGGCTTAGAGGTAAAATGTTCTCTACCTAATCTCTGGGGATGGATGAGTGACTGGTGCCTAGACTAACCAAAATGAGTGAGCTGGAACATGCAAACACTGAGAAAGGGCTGGTACTAGAGAGTTAAGCTTTACAGGTGAAAAGATCCTAGACATCTATACGAATTTATTTGAGCAAACACATGAGAGAGCATTGAACCTGATAAAAATAGCTGCCCTTTATCTGGTGTCAATGACAGTAACTGTGCTAAAGTATTTACATTTTTTTTTATTGACTGATTTTAGGGATAGAGATGGGGGAGAAAGAAACGTCAATTCGTTGTTTCATTTACTTATGCATTCATTGTTTGGCTCTTGTATGTGCCCTGACTGGGGATGGAACTATCAACCTTGGTGTATTGGGTTGATGATCTGACGAACTGAGCCACCCGGCCAGGACTAAAATTTACATATTTTAAGAGATCTAACCCTCTGATACTGAGGGAAATAGGGGTTGTTATCACTATTTCTGATGAGGAAACGGAGGCAAAGATAGGTTAAGTGACTATCTCACAGTTAAAAGCAATTCTGGGATTTGAAGCCTTTGAACTTCCAAGTTCATGACTGTAACAGAAGCTTAACAGTCTTCTGTATTTCATAATCAAGAACCTTAAAGCTGAAGGTCCTAGAATATCCATTTTAATTATCCAGGCCCTGATTACCACTACTAAAAAGGAGTTTACTACCTCATGAGGCAGCCTGTTCCATACAACTACACTTACTTGGAAGCTTTTAAATGATAAATTAAAATTTGTTAGTAACTTCTCTTCCATTGGTTTCCATTAATGATGCCTTCTGGAGAACAAAGCTACTTCTCTCCATGAATCATTCTGATATAGAGACAGTGCTCATGCACCCCGGCTTCCCCCATCTTTGCAGTAGCCTCAGTCCCAGGAGATCTCAGTACTGCTCAGCTGTTCAACTGTTAGACTCACCAGTAACAGAAAAGCCCCAGAGGGCCACCTATGTCTTTCAGATATCTTGGCTCTAAATTTGGGTAATAGGCTTGATCCCAATTACTTACTCAGGTACCTTAGCAAGTTGTATGACTCCCCCATAAACACATGAAATTAATCTAATATAACAAATAATGGCTAACATTACTGAGCCCTTTCTACGTGCCAAGAAGAGTTCCAAGTGCCTCGTAATAATATATCCTTCTGTGCTACTCTGTGAGGCAGGTACTGTCATTACCGCAGTTTTACCGATGAGGATATAAGCAGCTCTTCTGAGGTCTTCTGCTCACACTTGCCTGTCTTTCTTTCCCT